CGTGGCCCTTTAGCATTATTATTATTATTATATACAACTATTTATATTTATATTTGTTCTTTTTCTATTATTTCTATTTAACTTGTCTAACAAAAATTGTGTTTGTTTAACAATTTTTTTTCATATTTTTTAATAACTATTTCAAATATAGTTCTCCCATTTTAATTTTTTAGTTAAAAGTGGTACTCAAATAATACTTTAGATTTAGTTATGAACCTTTCCAATATGTTTTTCCAATTAAAAAATTAATTTTTTTATTTATTTTTAAACAATAAAATTTCAATATTTTTAATTTAATATTTTTCTAAAATCATATTATATATTTTCTCAGCAGTGATTAACTGCCAACGCCAGCTATCTTAGATATTTTAGCGATTAATTTTTCATTACTCTAGTAAATCCACAGCGCACCTAAATTTTTTCCAACACTAGCACACCCATACTCTCGCACACAAACGTGTAAATATATATATGCCATACATTTAGTTGCTTTTTATTCCTTTTCCACACTCTATTTATGCCTTCATTGGCATGCAGTTTGTATGGCCATAACTGCGGCGCGCTAACAAGACATTCAAATCGCCGTTCAAATAGTCTGCAAACTAGCTTAGCCGTCGTCAGCTTGCCGGCAGACCTTGAAAGCTACACATCTGAATTTTTATGCAAGTGTGGTATTGTCTTTCCCATAAGCTAAAACGTTTTTATTTTCCATTTTGTGTCTAAATATTACTATTTTTTTATTTTCTTAGCTAATTTTTTAAACAAAATTGTTTGAATAAAGGTTAAGTGTCTGTTGTTTGCATAAGAGTTGCTAATTTTTAATTAATAGCATGGGATTTTGTAAATATTTTTATTCACGTCGTTAATAATTTTTAACGCCGAAGCAAAAACTTGCATGCAGAGTCAACCAAGCGCAGTGGCAGATTGTAGTTATGATTACATACATCTACGATTATTACTTGTATTCATCTATGGTAATTATAAATCTTTTTGGTTTTTGGATTTGAGTTAATTTTAAGCAGAAAAATCTAACTCGTCGTCAGACAGCTATTTTCGGAGGGCCTCCTGGAGATCAGTTGCGCGATCAAGAGTATCCAAAGTTTTTCAAAACAAAGTGATTAATAAAATGTATTAAATTCTATGAATGTGCACTATCGATACTTTTTATTTAAAAATCTGCCTCTAAAAAATTGCTCAAGAAAACTTGTTTTTCAGACCTGGAAGTCTGTTAAGTCTCTATTCATTCATCACACATTTCATTCAACTTAAAAAATTATAAAACAACTAAGAAGCTAATAAATCCCTTTGAAAAGTTGCACAAAATGTTTAATTTATTATCCAGAAATTCCATACTATTCAAGTTTAGTCTCTTTTTTCACTATGCCCATATATAAGCTTTAATTTATGAACTGAATGAGAATTATGAAACAACAAGCAAGCCGAACGGTAATTTACATTCTAATAATGCTCAGAGCGTACTGAAATTATGGAGGGAATACTTTTCAATATGCTGAGTGGCAGTGAAAGCTTAACACCATTAGATTGTGTTCAAGCAGAATACCACTCACCAACAGGTACTACTCTATTAGTCACTCATTAGTCCCGTCCTCCTATGTGGTGCAGAAAAATGCACGATGCCAACATCCGTTACGGACAGTAACTTGGAATATGCATCTCGGCTAAAAATTGTTACGATTATTTTTTACGATCGGTGAACTTAATTACATTTTTTTATGATGAAGTTCCATTAAAAATCAGTATTTATCAATGGTATGATGAATTCAATCGAGGTCGTTGTACATTCTAAGATTTCCGTGAAGGTCAGTTAAAATCAGCTGTGGTTCCATACTGGCATTATAAGTTCGTCATGTGACCTAACAGGAGATTGAAACAACCAGAGCCGAAGCGAACAATAGGCAATAGTACCAGCATACATTCCATATTGCATAAACTTTGTATTGAAAAAAAAAAAAAAAAAAATTTGTTGTATTCCACAAAATTTGTGAACCGATTAGACAAAGACTTGTGTCGATTGGTCCAGGGAAATGTTAAAAAATACGATAGCGGAGCTTGAAAACTCCTTTAAAACATCGTGAAGATCGTGAGTAAATTCGGAGTAGAATACAACTTTATTGATTTCTAACGTCGAAAAACCGTCGACAAAATAGCTCTCTAAGTTGCTTTGTTCATCCTCATCATCCGTTTCTTCATCTTCCACTGGAGCAAGGAGCCTGAATACATCATTTACATCTTTAGTTCGTTCCGCGATTCCGCATTTTTTTTTCAATGCGGCCTCTTCTTCCATTTTATGTATTTGTGATTAAAACTCAGAGCTTGTTGGTAACTTTATGTAACATCTCTTCGTGCTCTGCAACATATCCATTCCCATTGCCGTAATTGGTTATAACCGGAAATGGGTTCCAAATTGCTTTTTTTTAAATAGGTCCTCATTGCTGTTGAGATTAGGTCATCACCCCTTGAGGATACTCCGTAAGCATCTGTTAACAAAATGATCGGAACCATTAGTCTTTCGTATTTATACAATTTAATTATACTTTGCACATTTCGGACTCATCATATTTTTCCCATTTCAGGTCTGTAATTAATTTTTGAATTTTTATAAATTCAAACTATCAAACATTTTTTTTTCAGTGTAAAATCTGTAAAGGCTTGCCGAACAATAAAATAATCATAATGAAAGCAATTACAATGTGTTTGTTTGTAAGTATTGTAATGAAAATAAGCAGAGATCCACATACAATTTCCAGCAACAAGTACAAACACACATACACTAACAGAACGAATCTCGAATCTGTTGAGCACAGAATCACCGCTGCTCAAAAACTCAATGAATATTTATTGGCTATTTGTTGATACTGTTAGGCTTTGAGTAGCGTAGCTTAGAGCCTACCGCGCAACCTAAATGTGTACAACGGTGCACTGAGGTGAGTGGTGCGGCTGTCGAGGGCGCTAGAAACAGGTTTGGTAGCTGATTGTTTTTGTTTTTCAATTCACATTTTGCTTTGTTTACAATCATATGCTGGCGCTGAGGTAAATTGAAAAATTTGGGTGAAGCCGAGTTAGATATGAGGAGGAGAAGTGGTTAGTTTAACACTGAACAGTTTGTTGTATATGCTCCCATATTGCTATTATGCTTTTTTAGATACCGTTATGTGATAAAATAGCAATAAACTGGTGTAATAAATGTTACTCGAAGTACCCGTTGATATGAGCAGTGGTCATTTTATTCGAACGCACTCGACATCATAGGCAACGCTCTCTGAAATGCCTTCCAAATGCAATAAAAATCTGAAACGCAGCATAAACGCGCAGCATTTGATAACATAAAAGCGCAATAACAATAACAACGCGCAGCAAATATAAAAATAAAAATCACAAAGCAATAAAAACAACAAGCAACGTAGCGCAACGCTGATTTGTAAGCCGCTCTTTATGGGCCGCTAACGAGTTAATCGAGCGCCAAACGCCGCAACTTACGCGCGCTCAACGCGCTGAGCAGCTTACAGTGCGCAGCAAGTACTCCAACTTACGCTCATCAAAATTCACTCAAGCGGCGCTCAAACAAAGCGCAGAGCGCCTTTTCATTCAAGTTTTGTTAGACGCGCGCTGCCCGCAACGCAACGCAACGCGGCGCGACGCGCCTCTTCACTGTGCGCGACATGCCGCTTTCACAACGAAATGTGTTTATTTATTTATATTTTCTATTTTTAAGTTTGTTTATTTTCTTGCTGCGCTATTAAATTAAATTTTCACACTCATGCTTTGTGGTCTCCTTCAGACACGGCCGGTGTGCTGACGGCGCTCCGCTCACATACGGCCAGCGCGCTAGCAACCGGCTGCTAGTTAACTCGTTTCTTAAGCTGCTTAAATGTCTCGGCTAGCGTAGAGTCGCTGTCGCTATTGCTGACTTTTACGCGCACACACACACGCATACATGCCTATAAGTTTTGTTAGCCCGTTGTCCAGTAACAACGCAAGCAAACCAGCTAGCCAACATTATCGCTTGGTCATAAGGCGGTGCGCGGTGTGCGGTGCGCGGCGCGCTTTAAGCAGCTGTTGCTAGTGTTGGTGAGCAGCGCCCGTACTAACACGTTGTCAGCGTTTGAGCTGAGTTTTGTTTGGTCGCCGCGCGCAGTTAGAGTTTGGTATGTTGCGCGTGCAACACGCGTTCGTCGTTCGCATATATTTAATAAATATTCACTACTCTTTTTTTGTATATATTATATGCAATACGTTTAAATATACGCATATTTTTTGCGTTCAGAATATGTCGAAACGTTGTGCGTTTTGTTTTTGTTAATTTTCTGTGCTTTGTTTTTGACACAATTTCGTTTTAATCAATTGCGAGTTTTAAACAAATTTCTGCGGTGCTCAGCATAACGAACCTGTATGTGTGTAATGGGAAATGTATTTTTTTATTGCTATATTAATTCGCATTATTTATTGTGTCATTAAGTGATTTTTTAGTATTTGTTATGTTGTGAAGTAGAGGGAAGAGTGGGAAGTGAAGTGAAGTTTGAGCCGAAAGCTTTTAAGTACGAAATAAACAAAAATTCACACCAAATTGTGTAATATACGAAAAAGTGAAAAAAAGAAAACGAAAATACATTACGTATAAAAAAATAGTTGACAAAAATTAAAATAATGCAAACGTGAACAAAAGAAAAAGAAAATACAATAAATATAAAAAAGTAGTTGACAAAAATTAAAATAATACAAAATAATATTAACGATA